TGAGCTGGGGGGCTGCCCGCCCCCCCGGCCCCCACCGAGCCCTCCTTGGGTCTCCCTGCCAGCCTCCACCTCCCCAGGCTGCCCCAGCCCCGCATCCTGCCCCGCCAGCAGCCTGCTTGCTCCTCTGGTGCTCCCGGAGAAGCACTGCAGAGCCCTTTCCTCGAGCGCTTCACCCAGACAGCTGGGCCTGGCATCGCCGGGGCATTGTGTGAGGGTCCTGCCAGCCCTTTGCAATCCGTACCAGGAGCACTGTGGGTCTGTGGCCCCCTGGCGCTGTAGCCAGGGCACATCCCCCGCTAGCGTGTCAAGTGGACAAACTTGCTCTTGGGTGGACAGGCTGTTTTCTGGGGGTGCGGCTGCTCACGGCTGGCTTTTTCTCCTACTACAATCTGCATTGCACAAAACGAGACCAGGTGGATTGATATTGAGATGTCCCGTCCCTGCTGAGATGTCACAGCCTCTCCGTTCAACATCAGAATATCCCTTGCTGTGTCCCGGCTGTTCCCGGGCTTGCTGCAGCCTGAAGCTCTCAGCAGAAGATGATCCATTTAGCAGCCTGTTGAGCGCACGTTGTTAGTTGTGTTTCTCCCTCTCTCCCAGCTTGGGATTAAGCTTTACATCCTTGCTGACTTCACTGCGCCTGTTACCACTTGTTCATTCTGAAGGGGGCAAATCTCACCGCAGGCTGATGACGCTGGCTGCGGCTCTGTCGGAACGCTTCCCTGCCTGCCTCCTCTCCTCCGTGGGAGATCCCCCGCGTGTCACAGAGCAACTGCATTATCCTCCTCCAAATCCCTCTTCTGCTGTGACGTCTGCAGAGCACTTGACTGAGATTAGTTTGTCATGCGGAGGCTCTTACCCTCCCCGCTGACCCGTGCTTCCCCTTCTGTGGCTGCTTTTGGCTTCTGTCTCTTCCCTGCTTGTGCTGCTGATGATGGCACAGGGCACCACTCTGGGGCTGGCACTCCCGGGCTCCGGAGAAACCGGAATTCAGGGAAGAATGTTGGATGCGAGTAGTTCCTTGCTCTGTCTGCTCAGGTGCTAACTTTTCCATCACAGCTTTCTCGCCTGCGCTCTGCCCTCTCCAACAGTGTCTTGGACACCTTCTGCATTTCTCTAAAAAGGGGTTTTCCACTGAATCCTCCTCATTATTTTGAGAGGTATCAATGAAGGTAAAGATTTTATAACTTCTCGGCTCAGCATCCAGCTGCAGAGCTGGCAACACAGCCAGCTCAGCATGAGAGGATCGGAGTTCTCCTGGATGCATCACAAAGTCCTGCCTGGACCGCTCTTTGGTGCCTATTTTTTTTTTATTTAAAGCAATAATCAGTGCTTTCTGTCCCGGGCAGGCAGTTGTGTAGTATCTTGAGCATGATCTGGGTGTTGTCCCTCAGGCTATTGTACACTTGGCCCTGGTGATGTGTGTTTCCTTCATGCCGCCCTGCTTGAATTTCCTGCTTCCTCCCCACTTGGCAGCGAGTGCCCTTGGATTAACACCAGTTTGCTGTGACGGCAAGTTGCAGACCGTTGTTCAAACAAGGGAACAGGAAGGAGCAGTGTTGCCTTGCCACAGCGTTCGGCATCAGTGAAGCACAACTGAAATAGCCTTCAGCTCTGCTGTCAGGTCTTCGGGAGGATGCTGCAACTTTGGCAGGGACTCAGAATCAATTTCTGAGCTGAATCACTTAGGAAGCTGGAAAATTGAATGTGACAGTGGGATAGATTTGAGGTGCTCAGGCTGCTTAGTGCTGAGACGGCTCGACCGTGGTGTGTGCGCAGGGAGAGGGTTCAGTGCTTTACCAAGGGAAAATGAGATCTGGTTACCCGAAGCTGGGGCATGTCAAACTCAAACTGGAAATGAGCTGCAGATTTTGCTGAGTTAACCACTGGAACCCTTCATCTTGGGATGGGTTGGATGGGATTGCCTGAAGTCTTTGTTTAGGTTTGAGGATATTTCTGCGAGAGATGTTTTAGTTTGACTGCAGAGGTAAATCAGTGGCAGGGTTGTCTTGATGATGCTTCTAACTTGGGTGATGCCCAGAATCCGACCCAGTGTTTGTGAGTTGCCATGCCTGGGCTTAATGGTTTCAGGTCCCCGCTTAAAAATGCAAGATGACTTCAGTTGCTGTGAGCTAACTATCTTCTCTCTCCTTTTGAGGTGTCAAGGGTTGTTTTTCCAGCAATTTGGACCTTTTTGAAGTGCCCGTTTGCCTAATGCCATGAATATTGCAGTGAACAATGTGGAAGAAAAAGCTGTCCATTCCTGGTCAAGAATTTCCTCTGCGGGACAGAAAGTGCTGGAGGAAGCCCTCCGAGTCTTCAACCCAATGTCCAAGGATCTTTCGGACACAGAGACCCAGCTGGTGGCCTTCATTCAGGGCCTGAAGGAGGAGGGCTACCAGCCCACAATTCTGAGGAGTAAGGATGTGTATGGGTACAGCTCGTGCACAGCAGACACACCTAGCCAAACAAAAGAGAGCACCCCACACAACTGCGCTGCTGCCGCCGAGTCCGCTAAGAGTCCGGCTCGAAACAACGCAGCCATGGCAAAGGTGTCTGCTTCACCCACCAGTGTTTCGGTGAACTCTTCAAAAGTCTCCGCTCAGCCTGTCTCTAAAGGGGATTCCACAAATCTCCTCTTGAGCTCCCTGAAGCAGACAAGATCCGGCACGTCCAAGGCCGCGGCAGTGGGCTTCCCTACAAGCATGTATCCTGACGTGTATCCAGCCATGAGACTGTCGGTGGTTCTGGAAGCTCTTGTGCCACTTAAAACTACTGCGTCCTGTTTGGAGTCCAAGTACACACAAGGGCATCTCGGGATCTCGCCTTCGGACCTTAAACGCCTCAAGGCTTCGAGTCCGCCGAGGCAGTTTTCTTCAGGCAAGACCACTAAAATAGCAGAAGGTAAGGGATACAAGCGTTTGATAAAGAAAGCACCGGATTCTGCCACCCTTGCTTTAAATCTTCTGAAGGGACCAAAGGGTGGAGTGCTGCAGGAGAGCAATGCTTGCAAAGCCTCGGGAGTTCTCAATGGGAGAATCACAGGCAGCTCATCCCAGGACTGCACCACAGCACCGCAGTCCAAGAGCTTGAAAATCAAAAATAAGGAACCTCTGGTGGGAAAAACAGAGTGGAAGGACAGCAGCACTTATCGGGAGAGCGTTGGGCAGAAGAGGAGAAGAGCTACGGAAGCAAGAGAAGCACCGCAGAGGAAGAAAGCAAATACCATTCCTGTCCGAAATAAATCTCGACGGGCTCAGAGCACTTTGAACCTGCTGAAATTCCAGGCCATCAAGGTGGGCAACTCTTCTTCTGACGATGAAGTGAGGAGGAGAGCACAGAAGATTCTTAGGGTCAACCTGTCCCCCGTGATCCGAATTCAGCCCTTGTCCCACTCTCACAGCGTTCCCTGAGTTTCTTCACTTTGTCACTTTTTATTGTAAGTAAGTAAATACAAGCCTGGCACCAGGGCATGGAGAAGTTTAAGAGCACCTCTGAATCTCTGGTGTCTGGTGACGATATGTCAACTAACCTGCAGACGGAGCAGCCTGCTCTCACGCTGTTTCTGCCTGTCTAACACTGCTATGCAGAACTGACTGCAGAAATAAAAACCCCTGTTTGGGAACGTGGGACGGTGACTCTCGCCCACGGGGAGCCGAGCAGGTCGGAGGGCTCGCTTCCTGCGGGCGCTCTTCTGAACATGGCAGGCTGCGCTCTCGTGCAGGGGGAGAACACGGGACTTTCTCATGACATTGATGCACTGTGATATTGCTCTTTTTCAAGCTGTACATTTACTGGTTTTATTTTGATCAAATTTTATAACTTTATTATCTATATATCTATATATCCATATATGTGCATATCACCTAGGAACTGTGGGATGATGCACTTCCTCCATCCCTCTGGGATTGGGTTTGATAGCTTTTGTTCCCCCTCCCCTTCAGCCAGTCTTTTGTTGAAAGGTGCCAGGATTTCTTTGTGATTCAGTGTTGTGACAGTCTGTTCTGGGCTCTCTTGAGCAGCTCAAGCAGGCAGAGTTATAGCCACTTGTTTGTCTCCAGAAATGCCAAGCAATCTGGACAATTACCAGCTGGTAGCTGACTGTAGTTTTAATCATGTTTTCGGTATTACCTCTGCATAAGAGTGGGGGAGTATTACGGGGCTGTTGCCTGCAGGTCTGCCTGACATCTCTAGGTGCCTCCTTGGTTTGTTGGTAGCAGAAGCTCTGAACTCAAGGTAGGGGGTTTGCCTCCAAAGAGTGATTCCTCCTCAGCACCCAGTGTTGCTCTGCTCTCCTGTACCCCAGGTGCAAACCTGGGACGTGCACTGTAAGTGTTAGAGCTGAAGGGCTGGAGTTGTTAGTAAGAATTGCATAAAATGTCCTGCCTGCCATGTAACTGCTTTGCTCTTGCTGGGTGTTTCAGGAGCAGGTTCTAGGTGCCAGTAGAGAAGACACGGGCTGCATTTGAATGTATTAGATACATCTTGCCAGTCCCAGAGCTCAGTGGGGTATTTGAGCCTGAATTAGAAGAGCAGAAGAGTTGAGAGGATATATGCCAGCAGTTAAACACAGAGAGTTTCTTTCTGTCAGTTTGTGTGGGTGAAGCCGTAGGAGGGGAGATCGGCACCGTGTTGCGATGGGTGACAGCTTTGCTGTGCCGTCTGGGATGTTGCGAGAAGGTGTGGCAAGTGTGAAAGCTCCCAGGGTGCAGGCTCTGCCCGTCCCCAGGAGGCACTGCAGAACCACTGTGGGCGGCCGTGTTAGCCTTCCCGTGCCGGGGTTGCGCTGTCAGATGGGAACATAGGCTGTGCGCTGGTGGAGGTCGGGTCTACTCTACGCAGAGAGAGCAAGCTCCAGGAGAAACACCGCGTTGGAGCAGTCGGTGCTGCAGCTGTCACCTGGGAGGGATGGCCTCCGATGATCTCCATTGGGATACTGCAAAAGCAGAACCTGGCGGCTTGGGGAGAGGGAGCACTGTCTGGCCAGGCGTGAGCCCAGCTCTATGCTGCTGTATGTTCAGATCTCTGCAGCAGTGGGCCAGTAATCCACTCATTCTCTCACCAGCTCAAAATACCAGTTGTCTGACCTAGTAATCCCTGCGGACACTGGCTGAAGGGATGAGCTCCCCTGGGAAGCCCCAGCCCCAGCTCCTCACGTTTCAGCCCCTCCCTAGCACCTGGCTGGATTTCAGCACTTTGTAAAAGGGGTTGGCGTCTGATCCCCAGCTCGGAGAGGAACACCACAGCTTGGAGAGGAGGAAGGAGGTTCATGAGGGAGTGAGAGGGCAGGAAATCTGGGTGTCCCAAGGCACAACCAGGTTTCTTCCCCCTTGCCTGGGTAGGGCAGGGTGGAGGTTCTCCCTCAGGGGATGATTGCAGGCTCTGAATCACACACTCGGGTTCTGTGTGGTTTTACTGTGCGTGTCTGAGCTCAGAGATGGTAGCTTGCAGTGTTTGAGACTGACCTGTGAATGCCGCTGCTTGGCTGCAGAAGAGGAGGAAATATTTTCTTCTGCTTCTGTGTTTTAAAACACAGAAACTCTCTGCCCTGGCAGAGAGTTCCCTGTCCTGACATGATGCTGGATGAACAGGGACCCTCCATCACTGTTAACTGGCCAAAAATTGCTTTGTCCCTTTTGTTCCCATCCTTCAGACCTTTCTCATTCCCACGGTCTCAAATGCCAGGTCTTGAAGTCTTGCACTGGAGTTTCTCTTTTTGGCTGTGTCCCGAGGAGGGCTCTGAACTCCTGCCTACGGTATTGCTGTCTGCAGGCTGCTCCACAGCTTCCCCTGTTCCCAGCCCCATATAAGGGCACCGAGAGCTGTCTCTGGAGCCTCTTCGTGCAGTGCAGGCATCCCAGCTGAGTGCCTGGCCTCTGGTGGGAAAAACAACCGTGCTTCAACAAGGCTGAATTTGGGTCGAGACTGCTTTTCCTCTAGCCTGAGCAGGAAGCTGAGCACCTGAGGCTAGTTTATCGGGCCACATCCCTCCTCTTCGCTGTGTTTCTTTCCCCAGCTGTGCTGCTGCCTGCCTCCCCACTGTTCTCTGTCACCTCTTGTCTTTCACAGCTTGGGTCTTTGCCAGTCAAGGACTTGGCTTGTACTGTTGCTTAACACATCCAGCAGAACATACTGCGTTAGCGCTGCCATGCCTTTCCAGGTGCTGAGCCGAGTTCTGTGAATGCTTGGTGGCGACAGCTTGCCCGGTATCTTTCCCAGGCCACCATCAAGAGGTCTTCTGCTCCGCAGGGAGAGGCAAGCATTAGAAATGCTTCTGTGTCACTGAGGCTTCTTCCAGGGAAGTGAGCACCCCATAGCTCTGTGCTCAGGGACTTGCCCATCATCAGTCCAGTCTCTGCCAGCTTTGCTGCATGTCCCTAACAGACTGCAGGACCCCTCAGCTACTGGCAGTGCTGGAGCTCGCTCCTCTGCCCTCCTGATGTCTCCTCTTTCCCCTCATAAGTGATTTGGGAACTTGGCCAGAATGATTGTGGCTTGTTACTCACAGAGGGGCTTTACAGCCCCTGATACCAATGCCGACACAACTGCTGCATGTCAGCTATTCCCAGGGAATCCGGTGCTGGCAGACAGGCTGCCAGGTGGTTGGCTCTGCCATCCTTCATCTTGTGGCCAGGTGCGGGTGCTCCTGGCATCCCAGGCCATCAGCACTGATGTGCGGGAGGCTGCAGAAGGGGCTGTGCTGTGGATGTTGCTGTCCAGTGTTTAAGGAAGATAAAGGGTTTGATCAAATCAGACCTGCCTAAGACCTGATCTAACCACAGATCTCCCACCAGAGGTCTCTTCCACCCTATGTTATTCTGTGACAGCAGAGTAACGCTTGCCTTCCAGGGACCTGCACAGCAGTAACTGGCAGGGCATATAGAAATGCTTTGCCTGGAGTGATGTGGTCTCTGCTGAGAGTGCTGTAAGGAGGTTGTTCAGACCTGTTTCTGTATTAGTCACTTTGAATTCATCCAAGTGCCTAACCTGGCCTATGCTGTTCCTGGGCACCATGACAGCCGAGAGCTTTGGAGACTCTCTTAGGAATGCTTTTACTGCATGGATTTGTGCCACTGTCACTTCAAGAAATGATTCAGCCAGCGGTCAAAGGGCTTGTTCTTCCGACTGCGTTTGTGGAAATCATTTCTCCTTTTATTCAGCTGCCAAGAAGCAAGAGTTTATGCTTTGCCTCCACCAAACAAGGTCTTTGAGCTTCCTGCATGCTTCAGATGTCCGTCAGCGAGGTCCGTGGGGAGAGCAGCTTGTCCGGCAGGCAGATGAAGGGGAAGCTGACATCAGATACCAGTTGAAATCACACTGTTAATTGGTAGAAATGTTTTGAAGCTCATGTCCAGCGTGATCAGATTTCACCTTCTGCCATTACTTTCAGCTGGAGAAGTTTCTCCTTGGCCTCTTCCCTGCAAGCCCTGTAGCATGGTGCTGCTGCTTCCAAACTGTGTCCCGCCCAGAGCCAGCTGCTGTAGCCACCCTTGTACAGAATTTCTTAGGCACTTTTCTGCAAAATAAGAAGGGATTATTTTGTTACTCCTGTTTCATAGCCCACTAGTGGTATTTCAGTGCAAGGAGGCATGCTCTGTGGAGTGTTGTGAGCACTCGCCTAGATGGATACTTCTCAAATGAGGGCATCACCCTCCCAGCCTGCAGCATGCATGCTCACAGGGCCGGGGAGGTGGGCTGAGACCCCTCATTGCCTGGTGTTTCCTTGCACAGAGATCAGTCAGTCACCAGATGAGAGCGTCGCAAGGAAGTCGGGAGCAGAACAGCATGGGTGGGCGATGCTGGGCAGACGGCTCCCCAACCCTGCTCCGCAGCTGCCCCTGTTCTGCCACGTGTCCTACAGGCCCGCCTCGCACACGAGCAGCACTTCTCCACTGGTGGAGCCGCTCCAGCTGCTCTCCCCCTTGGGTTCAAGTTCCCTGCCCTGTCTGGGAGCTGGGCCTTTGGTGACAGCACAAGGGATGCGTGGGGACGGAGGGCAAGTCTGTGTCTCAGCTGCAGCTGGACAGCGTGTTGCAAGCTGGGCAGCTTCCTGGGCAGGAGGGCAGGTTTATGTGGGAGGATCCTTGTTTTGGCCGTGGTTGGCAGGGTCGGTACCAAGCTGTGTGGAGCACCTGCTGCTCAAGCTAGCTAGTTGGTTTGTGTGGAAGTGACAGTTTTTGTTTTGGTCTTCAAAATGGCACTGGCCCGTTTGCTCCTGTGGTCAGACAGGGATGGCTTTCTGGGAGCTGAGATGGCCTGAGGAGAGGACAGTTGTTCTGGGGCACCTCACACCTTCTCGATGCTGCTGCAGCCCTTGGCTTTTTCACACCATCCATGGACAGGGGCAGGTTGCTCCCAGGACCTTGTGTTCAGGGCTCTGTGCTGGAAAGCACCATGCTTGGGTTTCCCTCTCCTTGCAGCCTGCTCCTGCCTGGAGCTGTGTGCTGTTAGGAAGGTGCCAGGTTCCTCGCTAGCTGGTGGAGCAGAGACCTTGTCCCAGAAGGCAGGAGAGCCAGGCCCAAGTGTCCCCTTGTCTATAGATGTGACTGTGCTAGAACTCGCAGCTTGGCCAGCTGCTGCCTCTGAAGCTGTGGTGCTGAGGCCAGACCCCCCAGTTTGCTTAGGAGCAAATAGACCGAAGAGGTCTGGTGAAAAAGCGAGAAGCTGGGATTAGGGGAAACCAAAGACACCAGCAGTACCCGGCTGACCAGCTTCTGCTTCTGCTGCAGGAGATCTGCAAACAGAGGAGCCAGCTCTGTGTACCAGTAGCACTTCCTCCACTCTGATCCTGCCCAGCTGACGGAGCTGGCCCTGCCCTGTCTGGCAGTACTACACAGGCACTGGTGCTGTAGGATCCGAGGCACGGGTGAGGGGGTGCCCCTTAGGAGCAGGTCTCCCTCCTAACCTTTGGTTTCCACCCTTCATCGGTTGCACAAACTGGCCCTGCTCGGGTGGCTGCGGGGAAGGTAAGCCGCTCACCGGCTTGCAGAGACACCCCCCACCTGGGTGCGTGCTGACTTGTACCCTCTGGACACCCTTGCGGGGGAGGTAGCACTTCCTCCGGTGAGCATCCCAAATACCTTCCCCTGCAGGGACGATTAGGCCTTGCCCCGGGGAGTCCCTTAAAGGCCTTATTATCGTCTGGGACTCTCTCCTTGTTGTCTTAATTAGCCCTTTCCGTTCCTGTTACTACAGGCAGCCCCTGTGAGAGTCTGGTGATTCCCACAGGCACAGTCAGGCACGCGGTGCTGTTGTAAAAGAGAAGGTGCTGAAAAGCTGCCCCCAGAAATACCTCCCCTCCTGCCCTTGCTCTGCCATGCTGCCCAGGCCTGGGACAGGACGGGAACGAGTGTCGGCGTTTGCGGCAGGGAAGGCGCAGTGTGTGACACCGTTCCCTCCTCCTGGTCCCTGCTGCAGCCCTCCTGAGGTGTAGCATTTCCCAAGCAGAGGCACAGCAGCCTCTCCGAGGGACGCGGGGGTGCTGGGTGGGCACTGCCCGGCCCCTCGCGCTCGTCTCTGCCAAGCATCATCTCAAAGAGAGCCGTCTCCACATCACAGCATGACCGACCTGCTCTGGCTGGGACCAGTGCCGCTGGCTCAGCCAAAGGCATCCCACAGTGTTCAGGGGTCCTGAGCGATGGCCGGGGAGCAGCGACTACGGCCCACGGGAGGGCGAGTAACAAACTTTTGTACGGTGAATTTGCAACAACTGACCATCTTGTTCTTGAGTGAACTTTTTACTGTTTCATTTGTTTGTGTAGAATGTTTCCGAAGCTATATTAATATTTAATGTTTAATATGAGGCTGGGCTGCTCCACACTCAGTGTTGTATATTTTGGAATGGCATTGTTTAATGAAAAGACAGCGTTAATATTATTCTGCTCTTCAGAGAGAACGGGACAAAAACCAGACTGTCTTTTTTCTTAAATGAAGTGAACTTTTTGTTATGAAGTCCTAGCAGGTGTCCAGCCTTTCAGTAAAATGGTGCTCAGAACCGCCCAGTGTGTCCAGCTTTTCTGTGGGCCCCACCAGGCTGCTCCTCCCAGCCCCGTGTGAGCTCTGTGGAATGGCATCTCCCGTGTGCCCAGCCGCTGCGTCAGGTATGCTTGGCTGGAGACCACCACTGCCACCACTACCTCTTCCCCCCAATCCCTCCCAGTGAGGTTTGGGGTTACCCAAGCCCCATTAAAGAATGCCTGGCTTGGGATGGGAAACACTCCAGATGAGTGCCCCTGGTGCTGAACTGGTGTAAACTGGCATAAATCCACATTCCAGGTTAGTTCCTAGAAATGCGCCAGGTCAGCACTGTGCTGGTAGGTGCTCTGCCAGCTCCTGCCTGCCTGCCCGCCCTCTGACTTCTCTGGATCTGCCTGTTCTGCAGCCGGGACCCCGTGGGCCAACCAACTCAACAGAAATGCTGTTGTTCACCCGCATGTGGTCCAGATTTGGTTTGTGCCGCGGGGCTGTGGGTGCAGTGACCCAGCACTAATGGTGGTGGGACCATGGCCTCCGGCAGACACTGGCTCTGGTGTCAGGGCTCGTTTCTCGGGAAGGGAAGTGGTTAAGTGGCTCTCCCGCTCGCTGAGGATGTTCAGGGAAGTGTTGGCCACCCGCTGAGCGCACTGAAGTCAGTCCAAGCGGGGCTGGCCAGGCGTGAAAGGCTGCCCCAGGAGCTCGGAGGCTCTGCCAAGGCTTTGCGGGGCCCCTCCTCTGCATGTCCCAAAGCAGCTACTGCCCCTCCAAGCTGTTCAGTCTGCTGAAGACGGCAAAAGTGCTCTAATCGCTGCTGAAAGGTGCTGGTGGAGCTGAGGGCATGGGTGCCCAAGGGAGCGAGGGATGCTCAGCAGCTTTGGTGGTGGAGGGCTGCAGCAGAGCTGCTGGCAGATCTCCAGCCAGCAGAGCTGCCCCCAGCCATGTCATCTCCCCGGGCAGACACAGGCCACCCACATGCGTTCGGCTGTGGGGCGGCTGAGGGGAATTGCAGCTTGGGGTGGGAAGTCAGAGCAGCCTTCAGGGGAGCCAGAAGGTGCCTGGATGTGGGCTGAGACAACTCACTTGTCCCTGAGATCCCACTGAGGATCCCTCTTTCCCGTTTTTATATTGCTTTTCAAGGCCAGAGATGTGTTACAGTCACCTTTATCAGGCCACTCTGATCTCCCCAGAGCAGATAAGGTTTGCTTGGCAAGATCCCTGCGATACAGACACACTGGCTAGTGGCTCTGTATCAGCTCATCTCATGCCAGCCATCCTAGCTGAGGAGGTGGTGGTGCCTGGCCACCACCCTGCTCTGCCAGAGCCTTGCCGGGCACCGCCATGCCCTTCTGGGTTTCCCAGCACCTGTGGAGAGCGAGGCTGTGGGCAGGGCTCTGCTATCAGCACCCCTTGCCCCACCAAGATGCGTGGGACCAGCCCGTGCTGGGTC